CAAATCAAGCTTGGAAAAGATCTTCCCCTTAGCCACTTCAGCTAAGAGATCTTTGATTAGCGGCATAGGGTAAGCATTTGTAGAGGAGACAGCATTCAAAGCAAAGATAGCAGACATTGCATGTGGCTAGATAGGCTGGTGTACAGTGCTGGGGTGGAGCCAGTGATCATGGCACATGATAGCATCAATGATGTGAGGAAATCTAGTTGTGTGGTCCTGGGGGGGGGGGGATTTAGGCTGCTAAGCAGGAGACTCAAGGCCAAGGTAGCCTTCTCAGAAGTGGCGTCTGTTCCACATGCAGGGCCAGCTGGGCAGGCACAAATTAGGAGTTTCAACGCATGGATGAGACAATGGTGGAGGGAAGAAGGGTTTGTTAGGCACTGGGATGCTTTTTGGTACCAGAAGGACCCGTACAAAAGAGACAGCCTCCACGTGTCCCAAGAAGGAACCAGGTGGCAGTTTCTAAACTAAATCCTGGGGGAAAGATGACAGGATGAAATGCCTCTGGTTCAGGGTGGCTCATCTTTAAGAGATGAAGGGGTAGCTGTTACGGCTCTATAGGGAAACAGATTAGGACTGGCCACTGAGTGGGTAACAAACATATTGACTGCCTGACAGGAGGGAAGTTGCAGACCCCAACGTGTCTGGGGAAGTATAGAGGTTCATATGCAAGTGCTAGAAGTGTCTGGGTAAAATGGGGGGGGGCTGGAGTGCTTTAAGTGTCAGAGGAGAACACAGAACGAAGCTTGAGACGGATTCAGACCAACATGGCTGCCCACCTGAATCCATCTTCATAGAGGACAACATAGACATTGTGGCTGTTTCAGGCTGGGCGAGTGGGTGTCAACACGGCACATGAGGTTCAGCATGGGCAAGTGCAAAGTAATACACGCTGGAGCCAAAAATCCTAACTATAAATGTATGTTGATGGGGTCTGAACTGGCGGTAACTGACCAGGAGAGAGATCTTGGAGTTGTGATAGATAACTCACTAAAGGTGTCAACTCAGTGTGTAACTGCAATACAAAGAGCAAGTGCAATGCTTTTTCTTAGGAAGGGGATTTTAGGAATTATTAGGAAGGGTATTGAAAACAGATCAGCCAGTATCATAATGCCCCTGTATAATTCGATGGTGCAGCCTCATTTGGAGTACTGTGTACAGTTCTGGTCACCCTACCTCAAAAAGGATATTATAGCCCTGGAAAAGGTACAGCAAAGGGCAACTAAAATGACTGAGGGGATGGAACACCTTCCCTATGAAAAAAGGTTAAAGAAGTTGGGGCTTTTTTAGCTTGGAGAAATGAAGATTGAGAAATGATAGAGGTTTACAAAATTATGCACAGGATAGAGAAAGTAGAGAAAGAAGAACTTTTCTCCCTTTCTCACAATACAAGAACTCATGGTAGACTTAGAACAGATAAAAAGAAGTATTTCTTCACCGAAAGAGCAATTAACACATGGAATTCACTGCTGCAGGAAGTGGTGGCAGCTACAAGCATAGACAGCTTCAAGAGGGAGTTGGCTAAACATATGTGGCAGAGTGGCTATTAGCCACAATGTACCGACGGAACACTCTGTCTAGGGCAGTGATGCCCTGTATTTTGGGTGCTTGGGGGGCAACAGTGGGAGGGCTTCTGGAGTTCTAGCCCCACTGGTGGACCTCCTGGTAGCACCTGGGTTTGATCACTGTGTGACACTGAGTGCTGGACTGGATGGGCCACTGGCCTGATTCAACATGGCTTCTCTTATCCTTCCCAAACCAGAGAGCTCCCTCAGTCCTAGCCATGGCATTCTTTAGATGCAACTAAGTTGAGAGCAAATGCCATGCCTCAGGAAGGTGCCTTCTCATCCAGTTCTAAAAGCAGTGAGCTCAAAGGAAAGCCACAATGACAAAATGACCCAGCCTGGTCCCACCATCATCTCCACCAGCCTCTTGTGTTTCCACTACTCCTACAACCAGCTTCACATCTCCCATTCACATTCCCACCAGCAATCTTGAACGATGAAACAGCATAAATGGCTAAAGTCACATAATTCCCAAATGAAAAGGGCATTTATCAAAATAACAGTAGAAAAAGTTTGAAAAACTGGAACTGAGAAGATTTTTATAAAGTCTCTCTTCACCTTCATCTTGCAAAAATAGAGATCCTGTCCAAAGTAAAAGAATCCATAATCACACCGGATCTTTTCCAGGTCCCAAAAATTCTCCTCCAACACCTCCTGAGGTCTTGTCTGGTGATTTGTCTGAGTCCGAGTTCTCAAGGAAGAGTTCCAAGGCATCACCACCAGCGACACGCTTCACGGTCTCCCCTTTCGCTGCAAGGATCTCCTCAATGTTCCTTCACCATCCAGGAAGAAAGAGACACGTTACAATGAAGCCTAAGACCAAACACAGACTTGCTTCGCTTCAGCTCCTTGAGCTGTTTCCACACTTCTCAGTTCTGAAATTTCTGGGGCCTTGCAGGCAGTGTTCTCTCTAAGCTGAGTTAGTGTGAGCCAGCTCACAGTTTTTTAGCCTCTGGCTCACACATTTTCATCTCAACTCAGGGAGAATGGCACCAGAGCAAACTAATTTATGCAGTTGCCAAATCGCTCGCTCACAATTTTAATGCCAGCAGCTCACAAAGTAGAATTTTTGCTCACAAGACTCCACAGCTTAGAGGGAGCATTGCTTACAGGTTACCTTGTCAGGGCGGCAACAGGACTGAGTCATTCTCTCGCAGTTCCCTACCTGTACAATGCATGAAACAGCGGGAGCATGATGGGCACCAGGAGACCTAGACGGCTACACGAGGAGAAGGGCTTCTCCACGGGACATCCCATTGCAGCCAGCCGGATTGCTATGGAAACTACAATGCCTCAGTCTAAACTGGGAGGTGGCAGTTTCTTTTTGGGAGGCCAAGGCGTTGCCATATGGGTCCCTGTCGTGGGCCACAGGCCATTCTTCCACACTGGGACACCTGCGGCCCAGGGATCAGAGGTTACCTATCCTTGCTCTAAGGGTAAGAACATGCCAGCAGCAGTGCAAGCAAGTGGCAGGGGAACTCTTATGAGGCGGGTCTCAAAAGAAGGAGCAAATCTGCAGAGTCAAGATTGCCAGCTCACGGCAGCACATATATCGCACCAAAATTCAAGTTCTGTTCCAAACACAGGCTACAAGACCCATACTTAAAGAAGGCTACAAGACCCATACTACAACTTGCAGGCTACAAGACCCATACTTAAAGAAGTCCAGCAACATATTTTCCTTTTAAGGTCCAAGTTTTCAAATACCCAATACATCAGAAAGCACTGCAGGTGCAACTAGATTAATGGGTCTCCTGCCATTTCTGGAGTTCATAGCAGCAGCAGCAGAAGGAAGGCTGGGACAGAGACTGGGACCGTGGCTTCAACAGTCTCTTCTGGTACTAGTAAAAAGGCCTAAAATACAGTCCAGGTTTTATTAGTTAGTAGTACAGTTTTGTGATGTTTAGATCCTGCCTTTTTCCTGTTACACGACTTGTTTATTTAATCATTTCAGGAAACTTAAGTTAATTTTAAATCAATTTTTTTAAAGCAACACTGAATAATTCTTGGCTGGGAGAATACAAAATCACACCTGGAAAAAATAAATACAGTTCTTATCTCCTTGATCAGGAACCGGAGACCTGTTAAATCAGGGTCACCCTGGTGCTGAGAAATTTCACTCTGGCATTTGCCATTTCCAGCCCTTATTTTCTTGCCGTCTCTCTCAATGAGAAGGACGAACCTTATTCATCATTTCACATTACAATATATTTTGGTGTATGGCACTAAAAATACACATGCGTTGCCTGTTTATATGTTAAATTGACAACATTCAGTGGTGGTGGAATAGTTACTTTCTTAACCAGTTGCTTTCTATACTGGCTGTAATATTCAATCGAGTGGAGCTTTTAAAGCCGCAACAGAATTATTAGAAACAGGGGAGAGAGGTTAGGCCAGCAGTTAGTTTTCTGCTGTAGCCAGGGCAGCGAGGGCTAGCCAACCCTCTACTTATTTATTTATTCATTCACAACATTTACTTTATTTTATCCACTTAGATCTGTATCCCGCCCTACCCCAAAGGCTCTTTTAATAGACCTAAAAGAGGTCAGGATTAAAAGGATTAATAGGTCAGGATTAATAGAACCAAAAGAGGTCAGGATTACGTTTTGTGGCAGCAATAATTCGTTTTGCATATTTATCCTGATACTTTCTACCTGTGAGCCCCGTCAGTGTGGGTGAAATGACAAGCCCGTATTTCCTTGGGAAGGGTCCCTACAGATGCACCCCCTGCGCAGAGGAACTGCTCTCTAGCTAGCGCGACAGGCGGCCCCGCATCAAAGACTCTGCACACAAGAAAGATGTTTCAGGAGAGGCTTCTCCGCTGGAAATCCTGGAAAGGGCCTGGAGGGGGGGATCCCCGCCCTCCCCCCCCTCCCCCCCAACTTCCCCACGGTCGCCCCTTCGGGGTCCCGGCAGTCCCGCTCCTTCCCTCCGGGGCGCCAGCCGGGCGGCCCCGACGCCCCCCCCCCAACTTGCCGCGGGGCCC